TAGGTTAACCTAAGGACTATCAGCATGCGTACCCACTGTGTTACCGTATAACGTTTGAACCTTTGGAAGAACTTAAAGCACTGGAGTTGACCAAAATCGAAAAAAAAAGTGAATCCCTTGCATTATCAATTGATGTTTCGCATACATTGAGCAGTAACATAGCAGATGTAAAGCACTTTCATCATCTTCCCCACAACTGCGATAGAAAAGGGACGTCTTAATGAGATTGTTGAATTTTTTTTCAATACAATGACCCCAACTTGCATACAGATACCTACTAATCATTGTCTTTCCAATTTCATTTCACTGGTCAATGTAAAAATAATTCAATAACTGTTTGTATAATACCAGCGATACCAGCACAGATCCTTTAGATGTTCCAAGTGATTAGCTGAAGTAACCCATTTGGCAAGCTCGCATGCCTTGCAATTGCTACAAATATTCCTATGTCCAGGAACCCAAAGATGAAAAATATTGAACTGCGTCGACATCTCATTCAGAAATGTGTAGCAATCAAAAACCGTTCTAGATGTAAATTGAACGCAAAAACTTTTAAGCAGTTTGACTGTCTGATATGTGTATATTCCTATTCAACATAGTATCCAGTTCCGGATAAGCATGCTTATAGACTTGTAGGATATAACTAGAATATAAATGTTTATTTAGCTCCTCAGAGAAAACTTCACTAACTATTTTTGAGCCGTGAGCATTTATTATTAAACCATCTGCTAACGAGGGACCCCCGACAATAAAATATCTCTAGATGTAAAAAACACATCGACATCAAAATTGCGATTGGTGTAGATTAGTCAATATTCTTTAAAGTAGGACTGAACCTGCCATTGTGAAATAACTTTCATTTCATAATAGTCTTAATTATTTTAAATAATTAATAATAATCCTTTTTTATTATTAAAAAAATAAAAATTTTGTACAGTTAGTACAAAACTTCCATATAGACGGGTTCCATCTTGGACACTTGAAGTCTTTATTCTCATATATAAAAAGTAGCTAATTATTTTCATGGAATGAAAATGGCTTATAAACATATTAAGAGGAGCAGAATATATTTACATTTACTATCATTCAATGCTTTACATTTAGTAATATTTTCGGTTTAGTGCCGTATTAGAGGTTACTTGTATTAATTATTTTTTCTGTAACTGCGATAAAATCTATGGACCCGGTTCTTTTAAAAACAATTATTTGGTATATAAGATGAGCGTACTGTCTTTCTTTAACTTCAGATATTAAAATAATTCTACGAAGATGTTAAAGAGCTAAGTTTAGTAAGTAACTCTGTAAAATTACTTTAAATGAGAGTGAAGTAAGCTAATATAGATACCAAAATGGGATATATTGAAAATTGAAAATAAACTTGTGATATGAACTTGTGAATAAACTAAAGATAAAAGTTACTTCTTTTATTTGAATTATCAAATTTTAAATTTTAAAAAATAATTAGAAAGGTTTTTTCGAACAGTAGTGAAATACAACAACAAAAATTTATTTTTTATATTATTTTAATTAATTGAATTTTAGGCTGACCATACAGCTGTTTCGAGTATTGCCAAATACCCATCATCAGTGGTCTTGGAAATAATTCTTAGTTAGTTAGTTAATTATTTTTGAAGACGGTTTTTGAAGTGGTTTACACTGTAGAAATTTTTAATGAAAAAATTTATTTATTATTATTAATATAGCTAATTATTTAATTAGTTATACAACTGATACATTCATACATTATACATCCAATGGTGTTTAAAAATTTTTATTGGTTTTATTTTTCATATCTAAATGAACTGCAAATATCAGGTAACGAACTTTATCAAATTCTATAAACATAGACTTATATATTTATCCGCACTTAATTTGCTTTGATCAAATTATTAATGTCGTTAATTATGTTGGTAAATCATCAAATTATTATTTTTTGTGATCAAATTTAACAAAATACGATTTAATCAAACCAACTTAAAAGAGTATCAAAAGCAGTTATGTTAGTACAATCTTTTTTAACTTGAATTGACTTCGCAAAACTCGAGTATAAAATCGATATATTAATTTTTATTTAAATTTATTTATCTTGGCTTCTCTAAGACAAGACATCTTATCTTGTCTTGTCTAACTATTTAAGCCCAGTTTATAATTGCTTATAAAGCTTATTGAATTATTTGCATTTATAATAAATCTTTTCTGAAATCTGTTTGTTGTTGATAGTAAATAAAACTATTTCTCAATGGTGACTTAGTAGTTTTCCTTAGTAGTTTTTTTTTTGTACTGGAATTTCTATTCATCCATGTACGATGATTTGACTCAGTATTCCACTCCTCGTTGTTGAAAATATAAATTACTTACAGAACAGAGAAATGCACGTGCATTTGTTTTTAAATACCTTCGACTCAGCACATAAAATTGAAAAATTTTCGACACAATAAACAGAAATTTACTTCTTATTAGGATCTGTAGTAGAAGATTAATATTTTATATACTCAATTCGATCACATAAAATAAAATGAAGAAAAATATTTTTGAAGGAGCAGTTTAACAAACATTCCTGCAGATACATTTATATTATTTAGGATGTTTATAAAAGAAATAAAATACTAAAAAAAAGGAAGGAACACTCCTACATTTGAATTCAAGCTCCTCAAAAGCTTGGAGTGACCACAACATGTGTCTGCAATGAACTGGCATTATTTTCCTGGTACATTTCTATTTGACGAATATTGAATTTGCTGTTTTTTGAAGCACATTTTCCTGCTCTTGATTTGATTTATTTTGCTAGTTTTTCCTTTAGTTTAGTGTATACAATTTGTTCTGTTCTGTTCTGTTCTGTTCGGTTTGGTTCTGTTGTCCTTTCGTCCTATGCACTTGAGTCTATAGGTTTATGGCCAAAAAAGTAAAGTTCACATACATTTGTCCCTTAACCATTATATTCAACTTGTTGTTTATATGTTAGTCGTTCTGATCTGAAAATGTGTGGGTACTTGGCAGCATTGTGTTTTAATTTAAAATTTAATAACACATGAAAATATAATCAATTTACATGAATTGCAATTATAATTAAAATTTTTCTACATACTTTAAAATCAGAAAAATCAACTCGAATATAAAATAAAATGAAAATTTGAGAATTTATAAATCCAAATTTTCAACTTATTCGAGAGCTTTCAACTTTCAACTCATTTAAATTAGCAAAAAATGTTTTATTCATTTGCATTTATTCTACGATAATGAATAACTTTTCGTTTAAAATTTTGTTAAAACATGAATTTCATAAAATGAAATTTTAATCGAAAATGTATTTAATAATAACTTAATAGTAACTTTATTATAAAATTAAATACATATAACATGCATACATACATACATATTTCTGAATGTAATAAACTGATTTCAATTAAAAAGAAATTAATATATCATTGTCTGATGAGATACTTCACATATTTGGTCAATCATATTTTAAAAGAGTACTTTTTATAATTCACAAGGCGATGTTCACAATTTGATCGAAATAGAATTCCAACTATAACGCATTCCCCCTACTCCTGAGTTTTGTCCTTTCCACAAGCAAATAGCATACAAGACCAACAAAACAATTTATTTAAATGTTCGCAACCTGTGATCCACTGGTTTTTATGGTAAATAGCTGTAGGAAAACGGCGACTTACCACAGATTTCGACATTTTTACAACAGGTACCAAATTCTTCATATCTGGAGTTGGTCTATTCATTTTATAAATCAAAACCTTTTTATTTAGAAAATCGTTTAAAAAAAGATATTTGAATCAAATCTTTAATCACACATTTATCCATTTCTAAATATTATTTTTCACTTTAAATTTCTTTAATTTTTTTCTTTACTTTTACCATTTGCTAGTATAAATTTGCAATAATGACTTTGCTTTTGATTTATTTCTAACCTCTACATAAGAGTAAGAAACTTTCATGCATTCATTTACTCTTTTACTTAGTATTTACTGTGCGCGGTTCAGTTTTTTTACTGAACCATTTGCCCATATAAAACGGCAACCGTGAGTTTGATTGTATTTGCAAGCTTTGTGTGAACTTGCGATTCAGTTTAGTCGACTGAACCTCTAGTCAAATATGAAGCGATTTTCGCTCAGTCATTTCTTTTCTCTTTTGTGTTTACTTTGCATAACATTGGAGGATCATTTTTTTTATTGAACTATCAATGTGTTAATTTAATATTTATTTGACAAAATAAACTAAATAAATGTTAAATAGATGATCTATTAACATACTAGACAATACTTCCAAAGTAACTCTTCCGAAAATTTCAATATAGCAGAGAACGGGGGCGTATATGAGCTATCAAAACTTGACGCCTATTCTATAGAAACTCCAGTTTCAATAATGAACAGTTTTTACGACAGGCAAATAAAAAATCAAGAGCCATATTGTTCTTATACTATAAATATAAAAAAATTGAATTGATAGTTGGATTAATCGGAAGTACCTAGGTTAATATCTACCGTAACGGATTTCGGGACTCGGCCTACTCTTTCAAATCACCTATAGTATTTGTCTACTGGCAATCAAAAAGGAGACAATAGAGCATCTATTGTGTTTATGTCTAGGATTGTCCAGAACTACGGTAAAGCTTTTGGACGGCTCACTTTTCAACACGATATTTTCAACATTAGTATTAGCCAGATATCCTGCTACCCGCCATTACGAGGAATGTAAAATCAAGCCAGCTTTCTTAATTAATTAGGACATTTCAAGAAGTATTGCAAATATCAGAAATCGAACCAATTGCTATACAAATAGTTATCACTCATAATTTTTAATTGTTAATTTGACAAGCCTGTTTATAGTCTTTTTTTCCAGAAATAGCAAATATGATTAAACTTTTTATGTCTTACGACAATTAATTTTGAATTTCAGATTTCCTCACTATTACTCACATATTATATTATTTACTATACTATAATTATATATTCAATAACTTTCTATAGAAAAACAACTTTGTATGGAGCTGAAGTTATTTATTTGTACACTGATGTGACTGAAGTCGAAATATTGTAGTGATATATAGATCTTTCTCAGCTAACGTAACGGAAACCCATTGTCCAACATCATCGATTTATATTTACCTAATAAGAATATAATATTTTGTGACTGAATATTTTAATATTTACACTTTCAACAACTTACCTTATACCTGATATATTTCACTCTATAAATAACCTTACTTCGTTTCATTGGATTAACGTTATAAAAACCCTAGAATTTTTATAGTGAAGCCCCTGCGAGAGTTACTTTGTGTCATGTTGCTTTTCTAGAGTTTTCCTGGCAACCTCCTCAGGATCTTTAAAATAAATATACAAAATTAATTATATACATATATGTAATTAAAAATCACTAATTTTAACTTGAAGTAGGCTTAACGTCCTTAACATTTGTAGAATCTTTGCTGTTGTATTTTTTATCCAGTTTATCTAGCAAATCCAAAGTTTTTGTGGCTAATTCGTTCAAACGACGTTTCTTCTCCCTCAGTTCCTTTGCAAGTCTTATCAGCTCCAAAGCTTTCTAGGTATATAAAGAAATTAATTTATTATAGTTAGATTGGATTTCTATAATACTTATTATATAGCAGACCTCTCTTACGTTGTACGGTTTCGGTGTTGTGCTATAACTTTGTTGAATTGTGTTAAAACTATTAACACTTTTAAAACAAAAACCGCTATTGCTAAAGAATTTAAAATTAATTTAAACATATAATAATGAATGTACTGTTCGTACTTTACTGCAGGTTTTTGCAAAGCTTTTTTGAGTCTAAAGAGATGGACTAATCTACCAGACATTTTCGACAGATATTTCAAATGGTTTCCAGACAAAAAATTTCGACTTTTTTATTTAATTTGAATTTTTTTCAAAATTCATTTAAACTGTAATAAAAAATAAAATTAAAAAAAAAATTTTTTTTTAATTAAGAGGTTTTTTTCGAACTGTAGTGAACTACAACAACAACAAAAATTTTTTGTTTTTTTTATATTGTTTTAATTAATTTTTTTTAATTTAATTTTTTTTAATTTCAATTCTAAAAATATGTATATATTTAGTGTAGGAATAACCACACTTAAATTAAATTATATAGGTATACATTATAATAATAAATATAATTATAAAGTTTTTTTTTTGCTAAAAGTTATAAATTTTTGACTACTTTTAAATACTCGTTCCTATATTCCTTTCATTTATAAGGTCACCAACATTCCGGTCCATTATCTAATATTTTTGAACCCTAAAAATTGTTTGAGCCCGACTTTCCATTTTTCTTTGAATTTGCCTTGTATATTAATACAAGTATTAATACATTAACACTTAGTATTACTCATAATATGCCCTAAGATGTTTTTCTTTTCTTTATAGTTGTTAGTAACTCCCTATTACATTCTTCCTATGCATTTTTCTCAATACTTCATTGTTGAAAAAATGATCTCTCCATGATATTTTTAAGATTCTTCGAAAGAACCATAGAGCGCAAATAGCTCAAGCTTGTCGATATCTGCTTTTTTTAAATTCCAGGTTTCCATGGCATAGAGAATCGTTGAGCAGTGTAGTATATTAGAAGACGAATTTTAGGTTTTATGTTGAGATCATAACTGGTAAATACTTTTTAATATTTGAGAAAAGTAATACGCGTTGTTTCTATCCGGCATTTTATTTCTTTGGATTAGTTCCACTTTTAATTACTATATCGTTCCGGGTTCTTAAAATTATTTACTCTTTTGTTACGAATGTTGTTAATCATTAAGTTCATGTTGGCAAAAATGTTTTTCTGCCTTCAATCATGTATTAAGTTTTGTTTATATTGTTTCGTAGTCTGAATTCTTCACTACTTGAGTTAACTTTTAACCTGCTTTTGTAGACCTGCTGAACTTTTAGCGATGAGTGTGGTGTCGTCTACATATCTTATATTGTTGATACACCATTCTCCCTTTGACACCCACATCAATATTATATATTGAATTTTCGAAGATATTTTCCAAGTATATGTTGAATACTAGAGGTAACAAAATGCATCTCTCTTACACCTCTTCAGATAAGTGTTTCATCGGTCATATGACCATTGTTAATCAATTTTATGCAATCAATTTTTTTGTCATCTATTTCCAGATATTTGAATTATTTTACATGAACTGATTTTTGAAATACGGTAACATATTTTTTGAAAAATTGCGTAGCTTTTTTCTTTTTTTCTGGGGATAGATTTGTACTTTCGATATAGTTAATGATAACGACTTGAGTTTTAAGTGTTTAAAAACTGTAGAGTCCGACACAAACTATCAATTCTTAGAGCTTCACTTATCTACGTATGATCAACAATTTTCTTTTGTTTTGGCGTGAAATTTATAAGAATATGAAAGATACGTGATTTTGACAGGACAATACGAAAAAGAATAGAAAACATCCTGCTTTGGCGTTGTTGTGCGACAACTTTTTTGGATCTTTTCTTTTACGTTTTTGTAATGGAAACTAATTACCAAGATAATTACCGATATTTTTTACCGACTTTGTAAGATTAAACAAACAGAACATTGAAAATGATCTCAAAAATATCCACAACTTTAAGTTATTCAATGGAGAATATTTAAATAGTGATGTTTTTCAGACTAATATTAAGATCAGAACCATATATTGAAATAAAAATATGATCAAAATCCTAAACATAGGTGTTTTTTTATTTAAGTTCATTTTCAGAGCCTCAAAATTGATAACACTTGTTACTAGTGAAGCTTGTAAGCAAATATATAAACAATTTTTCAGTGTTCTGTCAACAGCATATATTATTCATCCATTTGGAACAGTCTATTTCTTCTTCTAAGTGCCTTGTCCACTTCGAGCATTGGCTAACATGAAAAAATGGTCTTGTACTTTTATTGAACCATTGATGTAAATTATTCAACCATAATATCTTTCGTCCCCCAGGGCCACATTTGCTTTCAATTCTGCCTTCAAAGATTAATTTCAGTAGTACGTATTTTTCCGGATGCCTCAGAATATGACCGAAAAACTTCAACTTTCGTCATTTTACTGCCTTTGAACAATCTACACACAGCCAAAATTCTCTCAAACTAATAAGTCTGACAAAACATATATTAAAAGAGGTTTAAATGAAGACAGTTTTTCAAAATTATTAGTAACTCCTACTGCCTTTTGACAACACTAATAATAATCCAAATATTTAAATACAAAACGCTATCAATGATTTTTTAAAAGGCGTGAGATTTGGCTAATGACTGATGTAAACCTTCGGAAACTATAAATATTTATTAACAGTTTTCTCCGTTATTTTTTGAAAATAATGAATATCTAAATCGCTATGAAACCTGACTGGTCACTCATGTAAACCTCTGCAACCATAAGCATTTGTTGACAGATGTCTTTGATATATCCTTAAAATTTATTGGATAGGACAAAACTGAAATCTATTTCAGCAATATAACATATAAGCGGTGCCTTGTTAATAAGATTAGATGTAAAGAGATCATGTTATGGAATCTCTCAAAGGCTGGGATTCATAGAACCAAAGAAGAAGAAATGGGCTTAAAGTCAAAGTGCACGGTGCTGCATTGAGGAAGATGAAATAATGGAGATGTATTGAAAATAAGTTAACGCGGCTGATATAAAACTGTATATCATATAGATGTATTACTACGTCTCTATACTCTTTTAAAAGTTCAAGAAAGTGAAGATGATATATATCTATTAATATGTATCAATCTAGCATAGATTCAAATGTTATATGAATCCTGTTACTTATTGCTGTTGTGACTTGTTTTGTGTACCAAAAGTTGCATTTTCTAAGGCAATTCCTTAAGTTTAAGAAGTAAAAACTTTAAATCAGTATTGTTGACTTTAATAGTGTTTATTAAGTACTGTTAGTTAGTTATTGAGATATTTTATATAATCGCCTCGTAGGATGAATATTTTTTTCTCGAGCATTAAATGCATTTAATTGCTTAAACATTTTCGTGAATTACCGTTCAAACTAAATAAAAATAGCAAATATAAATAAATGTAGTCCTATTAAAAAAATATCCTTTTGATTGTGGAGGATTTACTGCTGCTGCTGCTGCCGCTGCTGCTGCTGCTGCTGCTGTGTTTTGCGTGCGCTTCCAGAATTTGTTTCTTTATTTTCACAAATAAAAGCGATAAATGTTTTAAACGCAACATTTTACTGCTGCCAATTTGAAGGCAATTGCCTAAAATGGTTTCTCTGGTGGACTGGCTTAAAATTTAATACAGTTGCTCCACGAGCCAGGACGAAATAGGAACTTGTGGCCGCTTAGTGATTCGATACAGTTTTTATTTACGTTAGCTCTGACAAAAAAGAAGAAAATAACAAAAAAAATCAATTCCTCTCCTAAGTTTGAGGTCCGTGTAGGAATGTCTAAGTTTATGTTGCGTGCATTTTGGTTTTTATGTGTTGCCATTTTTATTATTTAGTAAAATATAAGAAATAAAAAAATAATTTGTCAAAATGGCAGAGAAAAGCATGAGTACGCACTTTTTTCCTTAAGTATAATGATAAAGCATACTCAAAGGACAACCCAATGTCGTTGACTTAGAATAAAATGTTAAGGATTTCTGCTTAAGTTTACCAAAGAAAAACTACATATTTTTAATGTTACAACAGAAAAATAGGTCCACGTTCCCACATTTAAAATTTAAATGGTATTAAACTATCACTTTAAAAGATACACATTACAGGGAATTGTTCCCATTCTCCTGGGTCTTCTCCCATCCAAGCTATCAAACAAATACGAGTAAATGAATTTTTAGGCAAAGTGATGTCCGAATAAGATATTCAGACTGTCAAAAAAGTTGAAAAAGCAAAATTATGATTGCTTTATTTACAGGTATATATAAGAAAAGGATATTAAAAATATGAATTTAAATATTTTTGCATATACCCACATATAATCTCAAATATAAGAATAAGTATGTATAACCTCAAAACCAATATTTTTACCAAAGAAAATGCTTTCTTATAAATTATTAACAAAAACGTAAAAGTTGTCCAACCGAAATATTTATATATATATTTACAAAAAATAATGCCTCTAGAAACAAAATAATATTGAAATGTAACAATAAAAATAAAAATAAAAATAAAAATATAATTAATTAATTCAATGATTCTACAGCTGTTTTATGATTTCGTTCTAAGATAAATACAGCAAGTGTTGATTTGTTAATAAAAACTTTTACAGCAAATTAACAAAAACCTCACAAAAATATGCGAACAAAAAAGTCAAGTACGGCTTTGGGTCAGTTATTTAAGGTGCGCTGACTCTAAGCTTCAAATTTGGCAGGGCACGAGTTAGATTCCTGGTACTTGCAGTCTCAAAAAATTATTTAGAAATAGAAGAAGTATTTGGCAATACTCGAAACAGCTGTATGGTCAGCCGAAAATTCCATTAATTAAAATAATATTAAAAGAATTTTTATTGTTCTTGTTCACTACTTTTCGAAAAAAACATATTTATAAAATATATATATATTTATATATAACTATATTTATTTATGATATATAATTTTTGATTATTTATGTTTTATTTATAATCTTTTCTCATTTTGCATCTAATTTATATGAATATATTCCTTGACAAGTAATATTATACTCATCGTTTAGAACAAATCGAGCGAAGTTTTGATACATTAAATTGAAGTAAATTGTATTCTAGAAGTAATATTAGTCAAAAACTTTCCATATCATATTAGCAAAATCATGCATTTTCTCTGTGACTGCTTTACTTTAGCTCATAGAAGAAACTGGCCTTTAGATAAATACTTCTTTAACAATTTATAGAACTATTTACTGGTAAATAATTAGTAAATAGTAAAGATATAGTTATTTATTGAATTTCTTAAAAACAAAGCAATGTTAAAGAACATTCTGCACTAAAGTAATACTCGAAAAGAACAAGGTCTAGTCTACATTGTGACCGAAAAGTTTCCGGTCATAAATAAATAAAACGCAAAATTCTTAATCTTCATCAATATTTATTTTATCTCCTTCAAAATATGCTCCATTAGAAGCGATACACAAATGCCAACGTTTCTTCCAATCATCAAAACATTTTTTATAGGCGCTTTCCGGTATGGCTTTGAGTTCCCTCTGCGAATTCTGTTTTACGTCTTCTATGGATTCAAAACGCGTTCCTCTGAGTGGTAATTTGAGGTTGGGAAACAGGAAAAAGTCACACGGTGCAAGATCAGGTGAATACGGTGGCTGTTCGATGGTATTTATTGAATGTTTGGCCTTAAAATCGTTGATAATGTTGAACAAATTGAGGTGAATCGGAACAAGCCGGGCGTTGACACGTCGCATACACAAATTGTCCACCAAAATCAAACGAGCCATCTCACGACCGATGCCTAGCTCTCGTGCTATCTCTCTAACACTCACATGAGGATTTTTGAACACGATTTCCTTTGCCTTTTCAATGTTTTCGTCGGTGGTAGAGGTCGAAGGTCGTCCAGAACGCGGCATGTCTTCGACGGTCGTACGACAGTCCTGAAAGGCTTTGTACCACTCATAAACTTGAGTTTTCGATAAAACTGATTCCCCATAAGCCTTTTGTAGCATTCGCAACGATTCTGCACACGAAATTTCGTTCGAAAAACAAAATTTGATGCAAACTCTTTGTTCAATATTTTTTTCCATTGTTTTTTTCGCAACGCACTACTGAGGTGAACTGGTTTCAACAGCTGCCGTAAACGAACTGTCCGACAGATCGCGCTCATTTTTGGCATAGTAATTAAGGACAGTGCTGCCAAACTACATAAACTTAAAATATCGAAAAATATACAGCGCGCGAATTTTAAATGAGAACCTCCGAAAACCTTTCGGTCACAATGTATATAGTGAATGACATAAAACTTTACATTCTCAATTAGCAATCTAAGTTTTCCTTTGTGACTGCTTATTTTTGATTTCAAAAGAAACTAATTTTTAAAGAAATAACACATTGGCAATTTGAAGCCCACTTTATTAGTAAAGACAAAAAATCTATTAAATAACTCTAATTTAACAGGATGGATTTAGGGGTCATTGCTTTAGATTTCTTGCAAGCAAAGCAAAGTATTACTAAAGTAATTGTCAAACAATACAGGGCATAGTCTACACAATATATGAGAGAAAACTTTTCATCCTCAATTAGCAATCTAAGGTTTTCCTCTGCGACTTTATCTTTAGCTTTCATAAGAAACTAATTTCTATAGGAAAAAAAACGAAAAATCTAATAAATGATTGTAATTCCATAGATTGGATTCAGTTTTTATCTCTTCAGGATTCTTACAAGGAATGTAGTAAGACAGTGATATCTAAAGACGAAAGATCTTTTAAATTACTATAATTTAACAGCATGGATTTATGAAACTTTCATATCCTTAAGTTTAAGTTTATCATGATATGATCTAATTATAAAACAGTACAGCAATTGCCAATGATGAAAAGTGAAAGAATCTCTAATGAGCAACAACTGCAGTCAACCTATCAACCACAAGCTAGACAGTTTTTCACCGATAGTTTTTAACGGGTTCATGTCTAGTCACCTCTTTTGCTGTATTTGGGTTAAGACTCTCTTTAAATAAATTATTTATTGTTTGTACAACTTTTTAGGAGGATAGTCCTCTGATGCCACCAAGTGCTAAACACAACCTTGGTATATGAATATTTAACCTTAGCAGCGATTAAACTGGATGACCACCATGGTTGTTATAGTAAATATTTTTTGGTATTTATATAATATAGCTGCTATTATGGACACCATTATAAAGAGATGTAGATTAACATTAAAAGCAATTCGAGAAAGATCCATTATTGCGTGAAAAATCGTCGACCAGTGCAATAGTTGACTAAGATAAACGAATTAGTAAACTCATGGCCACCATTATTTCATATTTCTTTGTCCGATTCTTTTTGAAAATTAGTTTTCTTTCAATTCAGAATCTGATTTCTATTTAACTTTCTTCAGAAACCAAGTTTTTTCGATTGACCAAACCGCGTTGCGCGATTTGTAAAAGACATAGAAGACTACTCGATTACTGATTTTAAATTAGGTCACATCTTTTACAAATATGTGGTGTTTCAACTAATTTCTAGAAAGAATATCGCATCTTCAAAAAAAATCTATTCACTTCATTGGCATTTAAAATAGGATATATACATATATATAAAATGTATATTATATCTCTTATACATACCTGTTATGTGAGCCAAAGGATACTTCTGAAGGTTAATAGCACCTGTTAATTTTAACTAGTCATTTTTATTTAGATAAATTTTTTCCAAATTGTTTATTGTTACACTACCTTTTAATTTTGACAAATATTTTAAATTTTATTTAACAATTATTTTAAATATTCAAAGTATACTGATTTTCTGTATAAAAAATATTTTTGGAATATTCAATATTATAGAGTTTAATTTCATCAGTTAAAAGATAAATAAATGACAATAATTCCAGTTAAAGCTTATAGTTAAAGCTTAGTGTGGGGCAGGGATAAGTCCCCCAGCCACAAAAGAGTAAAAGTGCACAATAGCACTAACTCAAATCACAACAACAACAAATTGTCATATAATCTTTTTAACATTATTAATAGAGTAATAGAACAGGTGTAAGAGACCACACAAGCTACATATTCTTAAATTCACTGATAATATGAAATAGGTTATACCAGGGTTATAACATATTTTGGTTATGCTTTATTGTGTCTCAAAGTATTTTCCTTTATGATTAATACATTTTTGGATACGTTCGAACCATTTGTCAAAGCATTTTCACCAATCTTCTTCAAACACCTCCAAAACATGCTTTTTAAATGCAACAACGGCTTCGTCCGCCGACAATGACAAAAATTGTTATCCACGCAATTTATTCTTGACCTTCGGGAACAAGAAGAAGTCATTGCATGCCAATTCAGGAATGTAAGGCGGTTGACCCATCAAATCTATTTTTTTAATGTTCAAAGAGTCGATTGTAAGACGAAATGTGTAGCACTCGCATTGTCTTGATGAAGATGGAGAGTGATCCAAAATTGATTATAATTTTTATTCATATCAGTGGAAACTATTAGGTTACCTTTCTTTTGGTTTTTTAACCAATGCAAAAAATTACTTTACGCTATTTTTTACTGACATATGGACCGACACAAGTTTATTTTTTGTTTAATTTTATTCATTTTTTTATATACTTTTGTATACTTTATATCTTACTATATTTTTATTATATATTTTTATATGTATTATTATTTTTATATTTTTATAGTTTTTAATAAATTTTTTTATATTTTTATGTATTTTATTATATTTTTATCTATTTATATGATAATATAGGTAATGTTTTTCTTGTGTATTAAAATTGGGGTAGTTAGCCATCAATAAAGGTATATAGGGTTAAGTATATATATTTTTTCAATGACCATCATCACTGTGCCCGTTTGTTGCTATTTAGTGACATTCTGGAGGCTTGGTTGGATAACGCAATTGTTGGGTTATGTAAGCACGGTAATGACAAATTTCCAATCGTATAATGATGATTGAAGGTTTGAGCATTGATAACAATACAATTATTCATATTATTTCCATTACATTATATTGAATATTTGGCTGACCATAATGCTTTTTAGAGTATTTTCAAATATCTATTATCAGTGGTCTTTTAGAATTATTTCTTATATTTTATTATTTGTAAATAATTATTTGAGACTGCAACTACTAAGGGTTAGAATCTCCGTTCATTAGTCAACGGACCCAAAGTCGTACTTGATTTGTATGTTGGAACTTAGAGTTTTGTTAATTTACTGTGAAAGTTAATTTACAAATTTACTGGCTATGTTATGTTATGTATTTTTTAAAATTATATATGTACAGTCAAATTTCCATAGCTAAAACTTCTATAATTCGAATTTTCCATAACTCGAACTGAATAGAGTGCAGCAAAGTTTAGAGACCAAACTAAACTAGAGTCTAAAGTACTTCGAGTTATGGAAATTTGACTGTATATATAGTTTTATATATATATTTTGTATGATATTCATATAGTATAATAATATTTAATAGCAGCTGACATCATATAATATATAATAGTATATATAATATATACATAAAGCAAAGCAAGATATTTATTCAACTTCATTGTGTTGAAGTTTGTTTTTATTTACGAATAAAAATAATAAGGAGTTTTAGATTATTTGATAAAAATTTTAAAATTGAAAAATTCAAGTTACATTAGTTGAAGTATTGCAATTGTCACTTATTCAGTTGAAAAAGTTTATGTGCTTTTTACTCCGAGTCAAGATAATAATGTTCGTTTTGTTTATGCAGACAATATGAAAACAAGCGACACTTAAAAATTTTTTTTATAACATTTTATAAGATTTTATTTAAACAATAATATAGATAGATATTAAAATATATATATGTCAACAGTAATATATATACACGTACGAAACTCCACATAAATATATAGAAATAAAAAAGATACTAAAAAATAATTCAAAATTTTTATTTACGACAAAAGTGAAATTTTTATGTTCAGATTCGGGAATACATTTGAGTGCAATGTTGAGGGATATACTATATTGAAATTGATATACCCGCGCGTCTCGTAAATATATACAATCTACATACGCTAAAATACAGTACAGTACGCATTGTGCAATTTTGGACATATACCAAGTTACCAGCTGCAAAACATTAACAGTGTAAACAGAATGAATATAAAAATTTTATCAAAAGAATTTTTAAAGGAAATAAAATATGTTTTGTGTGACGAAAAAATGTATGCAAATGGTCGTTTGGGGCTGTACAAATACAATATGTGCCCATATAAGCACATGGCTACCCCCACTTCAGCGACTTCAATAGCGACATCAATAAACACAGCAAAAAAATTATTCGAAATGTATATCAAAGAAAAATCTATCGGGTCACACAACTTACCTTTCTACAAATAACAAGAAAATTTGCTGATTTATTCAATAACATTTCAATTAAAATGAAAGCATGGAATGTTAGATAGTTGGATTTATCGTCCATTTCACATACTAAGAGAAGTATAAAAACATTATATAAAATCTTTGAATTCAAAAGATATAATAATGTATTAAAAATTACTTCACAACAAGTATACAAACAATAATAATCTCAAATGCTTAAATATTTCCAACAGTATTAAGATATATTATATGTATGTGCTATATATATAAGGTACTATATATATTAGGTACTATATATATGCACTCAAAAATATCATATGAAGCATAATTATTAATTAATCTAAATTTTTTTTACCATCTTTAATGTTAAACCAATTACATTATTTACAGTATTATAGCATTGCTAAGTATTTACTAAACCCTACATAAAAGACCTTCTAACTCTTTTACGAATTAAGACCACAATTAAGTTCAAACATCTTCCGGAAAAAATTTTTTTTTTAGGATCTGAAACAAAAGGCTTTCAAAGCTAACCAATAACAATTGTTGAGATTCATAAAAAAATCATATACACTTGAATGATTTTATACCATTAAAAAAAAAATCTAAGACGTGATTTCAAAACAGTTAATCGATTTAGCACTACAGTCTCGTAATAATAACATAGAACAGTACTACCAACTATCAGAAAAAAAAAGATGAAAGTATCTTTTAACGCATTTGTGTGGAGAAACATCACACAAATTACGTTTAATATTTTAATTTGGTTTCATATTTTTGTCGCAGAAATATTTTATTATATGTTTGAGCTCTTCTGCCTTATTTAAACTCTACTAAGTTACTAGAATTCTCCTGAGTCCATCAAATATATTTCAGGCAATCCTATTTTGTCTGAACTCTCCTGGACCAATTAAAAATATTCAAGTTAATCTAGTCTTTAATTTATTAAAATTTATTACACTTTTAAAAAACATATCCAGAAAAATTTGTCTTAATTTTATTACAATCTCCAACCACTATAAGCATTATGTCACCCTCTATTAAATCTTAAGAAGGACTTGGATCATTTTAGTCTAGCCAATTCACTGTGTCTAATTTACTTCGTTATGGAAAAATTTTTGCATATACTTGCACTTTTTTTTCACTAACTATAATAATTAATATATAACTTTTTCATTATATATATTAATTAAAATAATAAAAATTTATATTTGTATACAAAAATTCCATCAAAGTCTAGAAAGTGTAGACACCAAGTTAATCCCACTCCCACTACCAAAAATAATCTAAAGAAGAAAAATAATATGTAGTCACAATGATGTACCTGATTACGTTATTATTATTATTATTATTATAATAATATAATAATTATATAATAATATATATATACATATATATATATATACCATATAATATATATATACCATATAATATATATAGTAATAATTTTAATAGAATTTCAAAGGAAGCGTTAATAAACTTAATGGCATGTTTTTTCCTGATACAGAACCGCATTTTGTAATATACTCTACTAGAGTAGCAGATGAGTTAAAAAGTCTTCAACTTCAAATAAATTTGTTTAAGACACAACACTACTTAATAGATATAGTTTTCTATAACTTTTAAACAATCATCAATCATATCCATTATTTTCTAGCATTTGTACACCTTTTTTACATAAATCTTAACAAATAATATATATATTCATAGGTATATGGTATATGGATATACGGTATAAGGATATACGCCTATTATTATAGTACTTCGAAGTGCAATTAATATAATTTCGATATTGGTATGAACAGTACTGTCTTCCTCTTCATTTGAGAGAGTTTCTATAAGATTTCAGTTTTTAAATATACCAATAGAGCTGCAAATCGCAAAGAGCAATTATTTGTGCTAAAATTAACTTAGTTATGAAAGGACACCATTCCAACCTAATAGGGAAATATAATATAATTTTTACGCAATGTAATAGGTACTTTTTATACCGAATACTTCCTACTTTCACTGTTTGGTGTCCAATTATCTGATCTATTCTATTGATCTTCGAAGAATAGTGATGTAAATATGTTTAGTTATGAGTTACACATAACATCAAAAAAATTGATATCATTGCATTTGAATGCATTTACGTCGTATTATCACTAGCTATTTAGGTATACTAGGTATTATGTATTAGGTATTAACAATAAGGTATTGTTACTATCAAAGGTATTATTAATAGTTGTTACTTTTTTCCTTTCACTTTTCTAGAAATTAACTTGTAAATATTCATATGTTATATATATATATATATTTTTTTCTTATTTACAAAGATATTGTGATGTTATTAATATGAATGCCAAATATTCATTAAGT